CGGGTGCAGTGGTTTGTTTGGTAAAACACTGGGAAACCGAATGAAGGTGTATTGTGGCTGACCTTTTGTTTGACCTTTTGTCAAGTTTGACAGCTGATTGAGCTGTGTACTGTGTGGTGGACGCATTGTGGTTGTTGGCTCGCTAATTCGATTCTATGTTTGGCCCCACTTGCACAATAGACTAGTGTTGTTACACCGCATGCTGCACACAGGAGCAGTGAATATATATAGTGTTAGTTCAAACTGAGCTGAATTCCCAATGAGCTGCGCTGAATGTTTCATGTTTAAAGCATCTCAAATCAAAGCCTCGTCAGAGTTACTGCTAGGCCTCTGCCAACGGATGGGCAGTATGTTGATATTATTATCGTGAGTACAGCATGGGGACTACTAGAACACTGCCTTATTCTAGAATACTGCTTTATATTAGAACTTTATACTAGAACACTAAACAACTTCATATATCACAAAAAGCCTGTACAACAAAAGAAGTGTATATTAATTGCATAAACTACATGGTAACAAGGAGCTGATTGGATGTCAGATATTATGACATCATCTCATCATCTCTGTTTGAATTTCTCATATAAATCTTTCACAAACACACAAGTAAACCAATTACCATTATGTTAAATTCAAATAGTCAAAGTATGTTCCATACTTTACAAGAAGAAGTGTGATACCAAGTCCAGTCTAAACAGGTCTGTTGGATAGGTTAACATTGAAATCAACCCTTTGGCTGGGTTGTTACTGTGAGACAGTCACTAATCCAATGGCTGGGCTCCCCAAAAACTACCTATAAACTATCCAGAACTGTGGAAAACAGCCCTGCAGTCCAGCATTTAAGTAGAAAAAACAACCCTGTATTTTTTGTACACACACTCAAAATCTAAATTAGTTGACTTCAAAACTTTGCGGCAAACTTTTGGCCTCGAAAAAATTCAGTGAAGTTACTCAACAGGTTCAAGCTTCAACTAATTTATATCTGAGTTGTAGTTTTTCTACTTTTCTGTGGTCCACACTTCTGCAGCAAGTAAGGTAAACTCAAACAGACCAATAACTGCGAGGTTAGTCAAGTTAACTTGAATCAAACACTCTTCCTTGAGTAATATATTGGCAACAATTAAAACAACTCCCTTATATTAAATTGACTGTTTGGTACAGCATCGATAAATGGCTTAGACAAGACTAGAATCACACATTTCTGAAGACTCTAATAGCTTAATGCATGCTTGCCATTCTGTTAGCATTCATGGCTCCAGGCTGACCTGAACACAAACAGTATCATGGTGAGAATAACAAAACCTGTAATGCATCCAAACGTTTAACATGAGAGGATGCTGTGACACAAAAATAATGTTTTCCAACATTATATTTATAAAGTAAGAGTTAATTAACATAAACCAACAATACTGCTAAGAATGTTGGGAAGCTTTTTGGGCACAAGACTCTTCAGTGCGTAAGACTTGATTCAAATTAGTTGATCCCAGCTAGATTTATCAAAGTAAGAATTATACAAGAAATGGTACATAGTACTAGATTTGTATTACAAATGTTAACAAAATAGTAAAATAAACCACAAAAATGACATTCTACTGTGTAATGTAATGGTAATGTTTTTGCTATATCGCCCACCTTCACCTCGATCCTTCTGACAAGGAGATATATATACATATATTTTACATACAGACTTTAATATGTTTATTTATATATATATATATATATATATATATATATATATATATATATATATATATCTGGGTAAAGGTATAAATATGTGTGCACTCATAAAAATAAGCAAGGGGTGATTTGACTTACAAACAATTGCAATTTTACATTGATATAACATTCTATATACTGACTATTTGATTAAATGGAAATGTGATGCAAAATCAAATTAACACCAGCTAAGTTCTTAGTTTTTGAGGGTTAATGTGTGTAGAAGCTCAGCTCAATTATTAGCACATGAGACAAAAAGCACAATAAATCAGCAATTTTATCCCAAGAAAATCTGAAAAACAAAAGATCTGGCCTACATTTTTGAGTGGTCTAATTGATAACCTTTTTAAAGAGCAGAGGTTCAACACTAGACTTGGGGTTGTAGTTATAAAAGTGGGTGTGTTCTTATGTAGGATCAGCCTAAACCAGTAAGTAGAGCCATAATAATTACCCTGAAAAAATGGCCATAAATCTAAAACTTCTATCCTGAGAAACATTGACAGGCAAAATGTCTGGCCTAAATTTTTGGGTAGTCTAGTTTCTGGCAGAAATCTGCACCCTATTTTCTCAGTTTGAAGCCAAAGCGTCCATAACCACCATTCTGCCCGTCAATGGGACCTGGCCACCAACAGCCTCGCCTGAAATGGCTGCCATTGTTGTTCCTGTCTCTCTATGCTAGGTGCCTTGCGCCATGTTGAAGATGCTGGAGAGTGTTTTTGCAGAAACAGGCTCTCGCGACTATGATGTACTAATAAAGGTCATTAGAAAGTGCACATTTGCAGAATAAGACGTTAGCACGGCGCAGCTAAGCCTCTATAAAAATGCATGGGAGAGAAACCGACAGAGCTAACCTCTCATTGGGAGGGATATGAATAGCCTTTGTTTTTCACCACTCCCCTGCACTACTGCAAGTGCCAATGGCTGGAACTTATTATGAGGTTCTCTGTGTGTGTGTGTGCGTTTGTGTGTTAATATGTGGTCCTATTTATGCATAAAGACGTGTATTTGGAGTTTTATGTGCATTTTTGTTTGTATGTGTGCCTGTGCGCAAATGAACGTGTACATCTGTGCCCATGCGTGAGTAAACGAATTACTCTGTTCATTTGAATGTGTGCATCTGTATGCATGAACGTGTGTGACTGTGTGTGTTTCAGCCTGTGCCAGGTAGATGGTGGATAACTAGTGGATGGTTTTTGGCTTGGCTGGACTGGTACCAGGTGTGGTTTGTGTGTGTGTGTGTGTGTGTGTGTGTGTGTGTGTGTGTGAAAGCTGTGAAATGGAATAGGATTTCACAGGATTCTCTGGCTACACATTTTTTTTTTCCCAAAGACAAAGATTTGGCCTTATCCAGACCAACCTCTCTCGCTTGCACTCGCTCTTATTCTATCTCTCTCGCCTTGCTAATGCATCTCACAGCATACAAATGAACCTGAGTGAATGGCAAAGCCTCCTTTAAAAAAAAAAAAAACACACCCCTCAGAATTTAACTATACTCTACAACCTGAGTGATCTAACTAGGGAACTCTTAGAGTAGCATGTTGTGAAATGTAAGCTACCAAAACATTTTTTCCCATTATGACATCACAACGGTTCCATTAATTGGCCAAAGCTTTTTTCCTATTATGACATCATAATGGTTTTCCACTATCAATGGTCTCTATATGGCATGTAAAAGAAGGCTTTAGATCAAAATGCAGGAGTTATAAACAAGAATCTCTCTCTTTCTACAGCAATAGATACAACATGATCTAACTGATGTAGTGCTGCATCTATTTTGGATGCTGCACGACCCCTTTAAAAGGCCATACATTACATATTAGTTTGATAGTGATTAATGAATAATATACAGTAGTTAATGGATAAAATGTTCTGAGATTAAGAGCTATATAATGAGCCTAGATTTTAAAGTGATAGTCATTTTTTTTTTTATTTTACCTTTCTAACCAGGGTAAATCACATTGAGATTAAATCAACAAAGAAACAACACCATCACAACCAACAAAAACCAAATCAAATACAAGAACAAACAGAATGATACAGTTCTTTAACAATTATCTTAAAATTACCCAAGGAAATAAACTTCATTCCAGGCAGATGGAGCACTGTAACTAAAAGCTGCCTTGCCATATTCAGACCGTACTATCGGAACGTCCTGCTGAATATAACTATTAGAACAGAAATTGTACCAAGAATTGGTTTGTTGATATGAATACAGACAAACATGAAGGAAGCTGACTAATAATCGCTTTATAGACAAAAATTATCCAATGAATTTGTCTTCACACTGAAAGTGATGGCCAACCAACCATTTTATAAAGTTCACAGTGATGAGTTGAATATCTAGCACCTGTTATAAATGTTGATGTAGAATTATGAACAGAGTATAATGAATGTAATGTTGCCTTTGAAGTATACCTATAGAAAATATCACCATAATCTAAAATAGGTAAAAAAGGCAGCTTCAACTAGTTTTTTCGTGCCTGTTGAGTGAGGCAAAAACTGTTCCTAAAATAAAATACCATACCAAAAATCATACTGTTATTTAGAGTTCTATACAAAGGTTTGAAGAACTCAAATGACATGTTTGTGGTGGACAAGAAGATACATCATTTACAGGGAACAAAATTAAATACCACATTTTCTGCAAATTTTAGGGCACAATTTCTATTCATTGCTGACATCGACATATTGTAAAAATAAAATAAATTTCACACAGCACATTTTTATTTTTTTCCAAAATATATTAAATTCAGTTAATAAACAGTGATAGTGCATTAAAATGTGCAGTTCTTTGTAAAGGATCTGTTTATTTTTACTTATTTTTACTCATAAAATCAACAAAACATGTCATTTGACCCAAACTTTTGCATATAATGGGGGTACTAATTGGTAAAAGTATGCTGCATAACTAAAAACAGTAGAAGCCTGAATCTTGCCATTTTGGTAGATATCATAAAGATGTGAATATACTAATCAGCAGTCATTGGTTTTCATGACTTGTTAGCTTTTTTAGCTTTGTAGCTCCAATGCAAAGCCGAGGAAGCAAGACACCAAACATATCTTAGCCAATCAACTTTATTTTAGGCAAAGGATAAATAATGTCAATTTTATTTAAGGGCTTAAGTGCAGCATGAGTGTTAAAAATTAAAGGAAAGGATTTTTAGAGCCTTTATGTTTCCTAATGCTGTGTTTAAGCTGTGTGTGGTCATTGTGAGCGTCTGAGGATGTTAGATAAGAGTGTTGGTGAATCGTGAAATGAAGTGTCTCTCATGTTTGACCTGCAGGCCACAGAATCGTATCTGGTGCATGAAGAGGCGAGCAGAGGAGCCGGACTAGCGGAGTGTTTCCTCGTTCCCGACACTTACAGGGTACTCGTCCTCTTCCTCTTTTATTCTTTCTGCCTGCTTGGCCTATTCTGCTCTCTCTCTCTGAAGCACTGTCACTCATAGCTTTTCAAAACGTATTTAATTCAAATAACACATTTTCTTTAACTGTTTGCAATAATGTAGCATATTGAAAATGTAAAGAGGTTTATTTTTGCTGAATAAACAAACAGTCACATATGTAAATATTTTGACAACATCAGTGACAGTGCTACCTTGGAAGAAACGCCAAAAGCCACACATTTTGCCCCCTTGTGATGTCAGCACTCATCAGCACTCCAATCTTTCAGGTGTTTAAACCACCTTTGAGCCAAAGTGCTTTTCATATAGCTTGGAAATTATAACTATCAATTCATTATTTATATAAAATCTGTTCCTCATGTCAAGGAAGATACTCTGAGTATTAGAAAATGTGAGATTTGCCAAAAAAACAACTCTGACCTCAATTGACTGTGCTATACAGAAAGCTGCCACTTATAGATAAGCTGTGTCATAGTAGCAAAACATAAAATACTTGTAATGAAAAATCATGTAATAGCTTGGTTTATGTTAGCAAACCTTTTGCAGGTATTTATTTCTTGCATAACTGAGAAGTACCAGTGAGATAATTAACATCCCAAGCTGTACTTCTTTACTACATAAAAATAAATGCATATTTTTGTTTGCACTATATATATATATATATATATATATATATATATATATATATATATATATATATATATATATAAAGTTGACATATTTGGCTCTGAAAGTTTGGAATAATTATATATATATATATAAAGTTGACATATTTGGCTCTGAAAGTTTGGAATAATTTTGTAAACATGGCAGAAATGCAGCTTTAAGGGCCCAAATCCAAATAACCTTCTTCACTTTTTTCTCAAAAAAAAGTCAAAAACAAAAAAGCTTCTTTTAATATGTAAACTCTGTTGCAGTTTCAAAAGGTACCATGAACTCATCAGTTGATACAGTTTATATATGGAAACTAGTTTGCCAAAAACAGCCTGTTTTGAAGGAGTACCCAATAGTATATATCTGCTATTCAGCCTACATCAGTTTAGTGCCATTCATTTCATTCACGCTGAAGTTATAAGGAGTGTTTGGGCCTGGGCTGCTTTTTAAATGAGGCACAAAAACGAACAGAAAATCAGAGCAGAGGTCAATTTGTTGTAAAGATGCAAAGAAAACCGGTCATATAAAAATGAAACAAGGCTGTTTGGGTTCATAAAACCACATAAATATCAGAAGTGGATCTCCGGGAGGAAAAAAAAAAAACAAAATTAGAATAGGCATTTAAATTTCCCTATTTTCCATAGTGCCAAAGCCGTTAGGGAACACATATTGTTCTGTGTTTATTCGAACAGTGGGCAGATAATAATGGCACTTGAGGAATTAGCAGGTATTGGACTTTGATTTGAATGGCGTGAATGGTGAATGGGGCATTTGGTTAATTCGCTGTCTCGCCAATGGTGCTGGACTTTGAGTTAGATAAACAAATGAGCAATTCATTCACAGGTGGCTAGATTTAAAGCTTCATTCAGATTAATGAATGGGATTTCTGATTTAGTCCGTAACCCGAATTTGAACTTGGCTAATGAGATATGATATCATATCATGTGCCCTGCGGTTTCGTAGTCAAAATCAAGCGTTTGGAAATGGGACTAAATGTTGTGGCGTGTTACCATGTTATACTTACAGCTGTGCCGCTGTTTAGAGCCACCTTATCTGCATAAAACATCATTACCGCCATTTAGGTGCAAGCCATATGTGAGGGATTAATGGTAAACGTGTGTGTGTTTGAAGGGAAAACCACATGCTCTAACTATATACGCTGTTCTTGTGTGCTTTAATAGCAGCATTACCCACTAAAACCACTAACCCCTAGTTCTTGTTTCTGGACCCCTACTTAGCTGGAGGCTGTGTGTATATGTGTGTGTGTGTGTGTGTGTGTGTGTGTGAGAGAGAGAGAAAGAGAGAAAAAGGGTTGCGTGTGTAGGAATAAAAGCCTTTCTTTGCTCGTAAAAAATGAAATGATTTTTTTATTTCACCTCATACTGTTATTGTGTTTAATGACTTAAGCTGTATGTGTGTGCATGTGTGTGTGTGCATGTGCACGTGTGCGTGTGTGTGCAGCGTATGCTAGTCGACACAGCACAAAGAACTTGAGTTTTTGGGTTGGTGCCCTTGGGAGCGGTGGGGAAAGTGGGGTCCAGGCACTCTCACCCCTTTCTGCCCTCTTTTTCTCTCTCTCTTTCTTTCTCTCCCCCCATACTGGCTGTTTTGGGCCTGAGCCTAGAACTATGCACTACCTAAAACCCCAGCATGCTCTCTCTGGCTTTCCTGACGGCTACACTGACCTCATCCCAAGCTTGTGCATGAGTTTTCCTCAGGACACATGCCTGTGCTGCAGTTAACCTCTTAAAATGATGGTTTGGCCAAAAAATAAATACATAAATTTCAGTTTTTCAGAGAAATCTGCAGGGATCTTTTTTCATATCTCTAAAGTTCAGTCTTAGAAGTTGGTTGCATTTTCTGCTTCTCACAATCCAAATAATCCCAACACATTCAGTGATGCTGAGGTCTGGGCTCTGGGGTGGTCAGTCCACTGTTCTGAGAACACCAGCAGCTTCTTTGTTTGGTTTTCATCAATCAAATTTCTATAGTTTTCCCCCTATAACCCAAATGTAGTCAATCAGCCAAGACAGCTAATGCAGCTAACAAGTAATGGAAGCTTATACCTCATCAGTTAGCATCATGCAAACTGCATACCTACATCAATACCTAAATGCACTAGTTTTAAAGTCAATCTGAAATTAAAATGGACTCTTTTATCTTGTTGGATAATATTCCTAGTATACATTAAGCATGATTAAACATAGATAGCATTTAAAAGGCACAATTAATGACATCACTGTCCACCTGTGAGTAAAAAAATTATATTAGGCAATTAAATCATGTTCGACCTCCCACCCCCACTTATCACCGAGTGTGTTTACATGTGCGTATTAATCTGATAACTGCAGAAAATCAGATTTTGTCAATAATCCAATCAACGCGTTTACATGCACTTGGGTAATCAGATAATGTGAAAACTCCAGGTCTACATAGAGTTTTCATGCACTGAGAAATCTGATTACTGAGCTAAAATCCAGCTCCCTTTTTCAGACCTTACTCTGATCTAAAAATCTCTGATTTTTTCCTTTTCTCAGTAAGAACTTCTTGACAGCTACACATCCTTTCAGACTCATAGTGTTGAGTGTCTTCTCACAGTGGAAGGATGGACAGAAACACCTGTGGATTTTTTCAGGTCTGTAGCAAGAGTGGAGCTCGATTTTCTCTCAAGGATGAGTACTTATTGGCCATTTTGACTGAAAATGCAAAATGAAGGGTGGTCTCTGACCTTTGCACTGCACTGCATTTTAAACCAATGTATGAAACACTGGGGCATATAAAAGCAAGCCAACATTAATCAGAATTCATCAGGTGCAGGCTGTCCTCTATATACAGCAGGGATGATCAAAAAAGCTTAACCAAATGTCTCTCCTGTTACCCCCCATGGAGCAATATAGTGGCCACAATGGCACACGCTGTTTTATTCCTGTAACTCTATATGACTATAAACTATAGCAGCGATTAAACTGACACTTAGAGCTCAGTGGAGGTTTAAGTTTAGTATTTCACGACAGGAGAAAAAAGTGTGTAAGATAAGTCCAGCTGTGTATGCATAACGGTGGCTCTGCGGTTACCACGGAGAAACAGATGTGGGCTTAGTGGAGACCACCCTGAGGTACATCGATGCAGGCCTATGTGAGTCAGATAGGCAGAGGTCGAGAGAGTGAAAGAGAGTTGACTCACCCTTTATAGCCTATGATCATGGTGAACAATGCAACCATAAAAAGGTGTTGAAGGGTCTTGAGGGTTTTCCTTACAGCAGAACGCATGACTGTGGGGAGAAAAAGCTCTGAAAACACTATCACTACTTTTTTTTTAACACAGTCCTATAATTTGGTTATTAACACAGCACCTCATTCACAAGGACACAAAACCCATGAGCTTTAAGTCTCTTCAGTGGTTTGTTTGGTCTGGTTCAGTTTTAATCAAATTCTGCAGTGTTAAATTAACACCAGAGCAGTGAAGCTGCACTGTCTTCAAACAGTGTTAATTTAACACTGGTGTGTTTGTTTTGTCTGAATGTGATTTTAAAAATGAGCCAGACTAAACAAACCAACCACTGATGAGAACTTCTCCTGGGTCTTGCATCCATCTGAATTAAGTATGTTCTTAATAACTAGATAGTATGAAATAAGGTAAAGGGCTGCCTTTGCCTGAAAAAATAGCTACTATCCTAATAAACATATTTAAGGACTATATTCAGCATTTTGTACTTACAGCTTTGCAGTAAATTTATGGTTAATAAATTCTACCTTTCTTGAAAACTAGCCTAATCTCAGTCAAAGGCTGCTTTTCTTAGTCTATAATGGTTCAACATTAGCTCTTCTCTCTTTGTTACCCACTTTAGCCTCATGCCTTTAGACTTACTGCAAAGCACTTTACGGTAAAGATACAGTAAAACGTTACAATTTCTGCAAAATGACCTGTTGCCCTAATAACTCATGACTAAAAGTCATGATTAATAAAGAGTAACTTTCTTGAAAACTAGGCTAAATCCCAGGCAAAGACTTCTTCTATTAGCCTACAGTGGTTCAATATTAGCTCATCTCTTTCTGTGACCTGCATTGCCATATGCCTTTAGAACAAAAGGCCTAGTACATTGCAGTAGACGCTACATTTTTTGGAAAATCAGTTGCTTTACTAATAATCAAATTAAAAGACTTGTAGATTTACATTAAAGGTTGACTTAGATTCAATGTCAAGGTTCAGTATTAGCTTTTCCCCTTGGGAAAAACCCATGTTCTTTGCAAAGTACTGAGTACTTTATAGCAAAGATACAGTAAAAGACTAAATAGGATTATTGTACTAAT